CAGATGTGGTAAAAAGGGAATGCTTATACACTGCTGGTTTGAATGTAAATTAATACGACCCCTATGGAAAAGACTGTGGAGATTTCTCAATGAACTAAAAGTGTATCTACCATTCAATCCAGCAATCCAGCCACTGGGTATCTACCCAAAGGAAAAGAAGTCATTATATCAAAAAGACACCGGCACACTTAGGTTTATCACAGCACAGTTCACAACTGCAGATACATGGACTCAACCTAAATGCCCATCAATAGATAAGTGGATAAAGAAAATTTGAGATGTGTGTGTATATATATATATATATGCGTGTATACACACCCCCCACACACCATAGAATACTGTTCAGCCATAAAAAAGAATGAAATAATGTCTTTTGCAGCAACTTGGATGGAACTGGAGGCCATTATTCTAAGCGAAGTAACTCAGAAATGGAAAAGCAAATACCACATGTTCTCACTTACAAGTGGGAGCTAAATTGTGGGTATGCAAAGGCATACACTGGTAACGACAACATTGGATACTAGGAAAAGGGGAGGTTGGGAGGGGGTGACGGATGAAAAACTACATATTATGTACAATGTCCACTACTCTGGTGATGGGTGCACTAAAATCCCAGACTTTACCAGTTTATAATTTATCCATGTAACCGAAAACTACTTGTACCCCTAAAGCTAATGAAAAAAAAATTAACAAAGAAGTTGAATACTTATGTAGTTTGGAGGAATTAATAAATCAGTATTAGAGTTTGGAACAGTAAAGAAGTCACATCTGAAAACTTGTCCACATTTTCTGAGTATTATGCAGAAATGACGGGAAGTTGTGAGGAAAGTTCTTGCCACCTACCATTGCTGCATCAGGCTCAGGTCTCCCAGGTCTCTTGGGATGACTCTCTGTTGGTGGAATTTCCAGCACGGTTTGGGTAGGTAGGGAGGACCTCCAGGATCCACCACGTGGACAACCACTTATTCCCCAGCCACAAGCCTCCCTTGGGTAAGCATAAATTGGCCTGGCTGTAACATCCACGTGCACCAACCCACTGCACTTTCAGCTCCTAACAAGCTGACGGGGTAAAGTTTTACTTTGCTGGTTACATTTGCTCCTTTATGCCTGTTCTACAGAGACTCACGATGGTGAACAAAACTATTCAACTATCTTTAAAATGATGCCTGAAAAGACTCTTGAGGGACGCGTGCCCCTATGCTTCTGAGTGGCCTCTTTCTAAGAAGACAGGTTTCCCTTCATGCCCCATGTTGTGCACTTGGATGCTTTTTATACTTTTCCCACCATACTCTCTGCTGGGCTTGCTGGGACGTTCTTTCCGTTTTCCCACCATACTGTGTGTGCTGGGATGTTCTTCATGCTTTCTCAGAGTGCTGTGTGTGCTGGGGCATGCTTCACGTTTTCCCATCATGCCTTGCATGCTGGGACGTTCTTTCCGTTTTCTCACCATGCTGGGCATGCTGGGGCGTTCTTCAGGCTTTCCTGCCATATTGTGCGTGCTGGGACATTATAATTATGTTTTCCCACCATGCCGTGCGTGCTGGGGCATTTTTCACGTTTGCCAACCATGCCATGCTTGCTGGGGAGTTCTTCCGGCTTTCCCTGCCTTACTGTGCATGCTGGGACGTTCTTTACGTTTTCCCGTCATGCCGTGCGTGCTGCCACGTTTTTCCTGTTTTCCCACCATCCCGTGTGTGCCGGGACGTTTTTCACGTTTTCCCACCATGCTGTGCGGGTTGGGGTGTTCTTCAGGCTTTTCCTGCCATACTGTGCGTGCTGGGACGTTATGTTTTCCAACATTCTGTGTGTGCTGGGATGTTTTTCACGTTTTCCCACCATGCCTTGCACGCTGGGGCGTTCTTCAGGCTTTTCCTGCCATCCTGTGCATGCTGGGATATTCTCTATGTTTTCCCATCATGCTGTGGGTGCTGGGACATTCTTTTCATTTTCCCACTATGCTGTGTGTGCTGGAAGCTTCTTCGTATTTTCCCACCATGCCATGCATGCTGGGGCATTTTTCATGTGTTCCTGCCATGTTGCATGTGCTGTGAAGTTCTCTGGCTCCTCCTCCACTGCTGTATTTCCCCCACTCCGTTGGGTGATAACTTACACAGTGTCACTCTCTTGTGGGCCTCGCTCTGCGTCTCTGGCCCCCTCTGAATTTCCTTTGCAGGTTTTGTTTTTTGGTTTGTTTGTTTCCACACACCTCTTCCATATCTGTGGACTCAGGGGTCTTCGTTTTTGACCTTTTTCTCCTCTCAGGTCAGCGTTGGCTAGCAGAGCTCATCCCCTCTGTGGCATGCTCTGTTTTCAGCCTGCTGGGAGCCATGTCTCTGCCAGAGGCTCTTCCTTTAGACCGTGTGTGCCAGGTCCCCTGCACCCGTGCTTGATGGAGCCCTTACAAGCAGCGAGAGCCACACCCCCCATCTGCCTGTTATACCCATTCCTGCAGTGCTGGTTCCCCTCCTTACTGAGCGTCTAGACAGGATTGTATTTTCAAATTACACCATGCATATTTTACTAAAATATTCAATAGATTCAGCTAAACATTTCGTAAGAAGTTTTTCTTTTCTTTTAGTTTTTCACATGGAAGAATTCAAGAAATTATTTTGGCTTGAGCCCCTCCCTTAACAACCTAATGAGCCATTTTGACTTGTCATAGAGCTAGCCTGAAGCGTCATTCCTAGAAAATGATATTGGTGGGCCTGAAGTCCCACAGGCGTGTCCCCTTAAATATATGTAGATTATGAATCTTTGAATGTTCTAATCTGATTGGGGGTTCCTCTTTTGGTTGGTTTACGTGCCTAATATTTGGCTATTTAATCCATCAAATGAGGAAAAATTAAGAAGAAAATGACTGAGTGGAGCCCATAACAAAACAATGCAAAGCAGAAGTGGCACCTTGCAGCAGAAAGAGCGCATTTAGGTGCCGAATTGATGTGAGTGTGCTGGTGGGTGGTTTTGTTACTGGGAACACAAAGGAGGAGAGTCTAGGACATTACAGAGGCATGTAAAAGCAGCAGGGAGGCCCACATACCTACACGTAATAAGCTTAGCTCAAACATCTGCATCCCACTGCACACTGCATCTGCCTGTTTCCTAAAATGATCGGTTTGGATTTTTCCCTTATCATTGCTGTTACTTGATGAATCCATCCATCCATCACAAGTCTAGCAGCAACCAAATGCTTCACTCAGTGCTGTGTCATTTTGCTGTGGACGCACACCCAGGACCTCCTTAGTTTTTTTTTTTTTTCTTTTATCTACTCATCACTTTTTTCTCCAATTGCCTGAACATTTCAAATGGGGCAAAACTTTATAGTTATTATGTTCTAAAGGGACCAAGAATTAATCAGGATATAGGTACTTCTGTCTTCTTGGGACATTTTCTCTAAAAAATACTAACAATTGCATTTTGTGACCCAGCTAGTGTATAAATATATTAGTACTATATTTTAAATCATTTTCTCTGACCCAACGGTTCATTTTTTTTTTTTTTTTTTTTTGTTTCTGAGTTTAGAAGAATTTAAAACAGTTTCATAAGCCCCTGAAAGTATCGTGGACCTTTTTCAGGTATCTGGGGTATGAATTACAGAGATAAACACAAAATTCAATGTAATACCCCCATTGAAGAACTATCAGAAAGTGGTGCATTCTTCTATATGATCACCCAGAGCATTCCACGAGTCCCACCTCTGTGTGGTTTCCCTGCTATCTGTCGAGGAATTAGCTTCTACAACTCCGTCTGTCATTTGTAATGCTGTTTGCAAAGACAACCATTGGATGTACTGGTAACTGCAAGGGATTAAGCGTTTCAGATTATTATATATTGGCAAGCTCTAAACTTTGACACAACATCATTGATAATGGCCTGTAGTTGTGTTGTATCTTTAACAATGTTGAAAGTGATTTCACCTATTTTCTAAAAGTGAGAGAAAAATACATACATTTTAATAAGGAACAATTAATATAGTTTAAATCACTCAAACCCAGACCTTTGGAAGGTGATTTTCCAAACTCCTATTGTGGGATCCTCACTAATGTTCCGTGTGACTTGTCACCCCTCTACCTATGTAAGAGGCTCCCCCGGCTCCGAGGCAGAGCCAGACTGCCCGTTGTCCTTTCCACCCTGCCGCCTGTCGCTCCCCATGGTCGTGCATTGTCACTGTGCCTCTGACCCCTCTGTGCACATGTGATCCATGGATGCTACAGAAAAGACCTTGAGTTCTTGCCAGATGGCCAGCTTCATGGGGATACGAGCCTCATCTGTCCTGCTGGGGGCTCAGGAGGTGCCTGCACAGATGTGCTGAAGGTATAAAAGCACAATGTCAGTGAAAGAACAGAACCAACCAATGATTTGCTGACTTATTCCAGGACAGATCAACCTAGTGGGGACTTTGCCCAACTGTAAAGATACCCTCAGTGGCCGGCCATGTGCAGAGCCCCAGGCAGGCAAAGCCGGGAAGGAGAGGTTCCTGCCTGGATCCCTGCTGCTGGTCCCCGTGCTCTGAGCGATCCCAGCCCTGAGGGGCCCTGGGTGCCCTGCGAAGGGCTCTGCGCTCCAGCTGCGAGGACTCTTTCAAACCAATGGAATGAGATGTGTAAAAATTCAACTTACCTTCAAATGGGCAAATATCGTCAGACTGTTTAGTGTTTTGTCCCATTCGGTCTTTTTTCACCCTGTCTGGGGGAAGGCATCAATCTAGTGGTGAAGATGGACCGAGCCAAGGTTCAGTTAGATGTGCTTGCCTGTTTTTGTTTCTCCCTATGATGGCTTGCCATTTGTGTAAGAATTGGTTTTTGGCTTTTGACGTGAAAGAAGCAAACCTTAACAATTTTCAAAATCATGGTGAGGAATCTGTGGTGTTCCTTGGGCTTTGTGTTGGGCTCCAGGACCTCTGCCTCCTGGGCTCTGGCCCTCCCTGGACCCTGACCCGGGGAGCTGCTGTCTGTGCGGAGGAAAGGCCCGTCGCCATTCCATTTCCCCTTGTCTATTTCCAGGGCCTGGACTTTGCCGGATTCACTGCACACATGTTCCTTGGGATTTGCCTTGTTCTCCTGGTCTCCTTTCCACTCCTCAGACTCCTTTACTGGAACAGAAAGCTTTATAACAAGGAGCCCAGTGAGATTGTTGGTGAGTACAGGTGCCTCTCATGTAGGCTCAGATTTCATTACCATGATATTGTTTGTTTACCAGGGGAAGTTCTTATCAGGAAGTACCTGTCGATGGGTTGCTGGATGCTCAGTATCAGTGACTCTCCACGTCCGCTTCCTCGTATACACTGTGTTTTCAGGGCTGCTGTCATGAGCTGTGCCTCTTCAGTTTTCTGTGAAGTGTACTGTGCTAAAATGTGGGGAGTTATGGCCACCATGTACAACTCACATGTCATAACCTCCTAAAGCCATGTGTGTGTGGCACAAACACACTAACATAGACTGTAGTGCTCTAATAGTGTATCATAGCTTGAGTGCTAAATATGACTGCAAATACAGCAACATAACCCAGCACAGGAGGTGATGTGCCCTGTCAATCAAGAGCACATGCTAGGCTGGGCGCAGTGGCGCATGCCTGTAATCCCAGCACTTTGGGAGGCCGAGGGGGGCGGATCACCTGAATCAGGTCAGGAGTTTGAGTCCAACCTGGCCAACATGGTGAAACCCCGTCTGTACTAAAAATATAGAAATTAGCTGGGCATGGTGGCACACGCCTGTAATCCCAGCTACTCGGGAGGCTGAGGCAGGAGAATTGCTTGAACCCAGGAGGTGGAGGTTGCAGTGTGCCAAGATTGTGCCATTGCACTCCAGCCTGGGTGACAGAGACTCCGTCTCAAAAACAAACAAACAAACAAACAGCAGATGCTGCGCACCAGCCAGCAGGATGAGGGCTTAGGGCCATCTTATCATTTTGCACTTTCATCACTTAAACACTTCAGTAGATGTTTTACTGAGATTGTTGCTGACTAGAATGTATTAGGAGCAATAGATTATTTGGGAAACAGCCAGCCTTTCCTTGGTGAGCTCCCGAATGTGGATGCCGCGCAGGTTGCCTGGGTAACAGGGGCATCAGGCGACCAGCATTCGGCAGATGCAGGCGCTCTTCTTCTTCTTCAGGGGTTTTTAGAGCTCACGGATTGTATGTTGATCTCTGTCAGCCTTTGTGATTCCGCTGGCCTGTGTTTTACAGGATCTCAGTTTGTCTTTGTTCTGGATAAGATAGCCCGGTTCCATTTCCACACGGGCGGCTGGAGGCCCTGACATGGTCCTGCCATACTCCAGTTCCTCCGACGCTGACTGTCCAAGACACATCTGTGTGACTTTCATGTTATTCAGAATTTGAGTGTTTCAAAAATCTCATTAAGAAAATATTGTTTCGTGTGCCTCCTCAGGATTCATCTGACAAAACGAGATTGTTCTTGGGAATGTCTAGTCATCTTACCTGGGGCCAGGACCTAGTTCAACCCGTAACAACTAGCTAGAGGTGTTTAGAATGTTTTATAATCAAATAATATATGCACAGTAAGATAAATTAATATATAGGTTTCATTTTTTGATGAAAATGTTAGAACCGAGGGAGAGCAAAGGAGACTGTGATCGTGATGGGTAATTGTCCTGTCTCTTGGAGCTTGTGTGTGCACAGCTGTGCCTTCGTGGAGAGCTCAGCTGTCGTCCTACCCAACTATGCCAGCCTCTCCCAACCTCCCTGGTGATCACAGTGTCTAATCTTGAGAAGAATTTGGGATACACAGATTTAGATACGTAGAAAATAAATCTCTGTAATCAATTCCTCACCGTTCCTGAGTAAGGAACAGAGAAAAGCTCCAAGGGAAGTGGGGAGGGATGGTTGGGAGTGCGCACACCTGGCGAAGCTGGAGCCCTGCGGCAGTGCTGAGACCGGCAGTGCAGACTGGGGTGATTGCTCTGTGCCACTGTTGGGCCTAGAGGGCTCCACATTTGGAGTCCTTGGTAAAACTGCAGATTCCTAAGCCCCACTCAACAGATCTGAGTTTAGCAGGCCTGTGGTAGTGTACAGAGCAGTGCCAGAACAGGCTTGGTTTTGTTGCAGGGAAAAAGTAACCCTGAAATCGCAGTGACTTCCAGAACTGTGTTTTCTTCCTCGTGTTGGCTTTGTACCCCTTGCCTCCTCCCCAGTGGCCTGGCAGGGGCCCTGATCATCATCTGTTCTTAGAGTCCTGAGCGGCTGGCCTTGAAGGCAGAGAGAATGGCATGGGCCCACTCTGCCATCGAGTGACACAGGCAGGCTCCACCCAGTCACAAGGGACCAGGCCAGGCCAGCCTACCAGGTGCTCAGAATGGGAGAGAGCGTGACGTACATGGTGAAAGGAACAGTAATCACCAGCGCCTGTCCCTCTGATCACCAAATATTCAGCTCCTGCTGCTTCTTGCTAGTACTTTGTTAGCATTTTGTATTTGTGTACGTTAGGGATCTTGATGTGGTTTCCTGTCTTGTAATGTCTTTTTTTGTTGTCATCTTCAAGTTTTTGTCATCTTCAAGTTTTTGGAAGAATTTCTGTAGAATTGCTATTACTTTTTTCTTAAATGTTTATTTGGACATTTATAGGCCTGGATGTTTTTGTGGGAAGGTTTTTAACTACAAATTCAAATCCCTTAATATACATATAGGGATGGCTATTCAAGTAATCTGTTTCTCCTTGAGTGATTCTGGTAGTTGGTGTCTTTCGAGGAATTTGTCCATTTAATCTAAGTTGTTGAATGTATTGTTATAGAATTGTTCATAATATTCTTTCATTTTCCTTTTAAGGGTTATCAAATGTTTGATAATGTCATATCTCTCATCTCTGATGTTGATAGTTTGTCTTCTCTTTTTGGTTGGTTTATCAATTTTATTGATCTCAAAGAACCAGCTTTTGATTATATAGATTTTTCTCTACAGTTTTTTTTTCTCTTTTAATAATGTCTATTGTGCTCTTTATTATTTTTTTTTCTGCTTACTTTTGGGCTTGTTTTTCTTTCACTAGTTTCTAAAAGTAGAGGCTAAGGTTATTGATTTCATGTGCCTCTTATTTTCTATTATAGGCATTTAGTACTCTAAATTTCCTTCTAAGTATTACTTTAGTGACCTCTCACTAATTTATTAAATATTTCATTTTCATTCAGTTCAAATTATCTTTTTTTTTTTTTTTTTTTGAGATGGAGTCTCGCTCTGTCGCCCAGGCTGGAGTGCAGTGGCTGGATCTCGGCTCACTTCAAGCTCCGCCTCCCGGGTTTATGCCATTCTCCTGCCTCAGCCTCCCAAGTAGCTGGGACTACAGGTGCCGGCCACCTCGCCCAGCTAGTTTTTTTGTATTTTTTAGTAGAGACGGGGTTTCACCATGTTAGCCAGGATGGTCTCGATCTCCAGACCTCGTGATCCGCCTGTCTTGGCCTCCCACAGTGCTGGGATTACAGGCTTGAGCCACCACGCCCAGCCCAAATTATCTTATAATTCATCTTTTTTATTTCTTCTTTGATCCTTGGATAATTTAGATGGTTTATTTACCTTCCAAGTATTTGGGAAAGTTTTTGCAGTTACCTAATTTAGTTCCAGTATAGTAAAAGAATGCATTTCATAAATCTTGAATCCTTTAAAATTTATTGAGACCTGTATGGCTATAGAATGTGGTCTACCTTTGTAACCGTTCTGTGTGTACTAGAAATGAAAATGTATTCCGCTCTTGTTGGGAGGAATGTTCAATGATGTCAATTATGTAGCTTAAGTCAGATTGGCTGATAATGTTATTCAAGTACTCTGTGTCCCTGCTGATTTTCTATCTACTTGTTTTATTAATTATTGAGAGATGGATACAGACGTGTCTAAGGGTGATTATAGATTTGTTTATTTCTCTTTGTAATTCTATCATTTTGCTTTATGCATTTTAAAAGTTTACTATTAGGGCACATAAATATTTAGGATTGTTCTTTCATATTGATGAATTAACACCTTTATTATTATAAAAACAATCTTCGCGATCCATGTTAATATTCTTTGCTCTGAAATATACTTTGTTGTTGATATAACAATTTCATTTTTCTCTTGACTAGTGTTAGTGTGGTATATCTTTTGCCATCTTTTTACTTTTAACTTATGTATGTCTTTAAAGTACAGTTCTTGTAAGCAGCATATATTTGCATCTTGCTTTTTTATCTATTCTGATAGTCTGTCTCTTAGACATTTATATTTAATGTGCTTAGTGATGTGATTGAAGTGTAACATCATATTATTGTTTTATATTTGTGCTTCTTTATTACTATTCTCTTCATTTATGCCTTCTTTTGAATTAATTATTTAAATATATTCTATATTTTCTCCTCTTTTGGTTGTTACTTTTTTGGGCTTTAATTCTGTTTTATGATTTTAGTGACTATTATACCACTAACTTTAAGCAATATTATACTACCTAGCATATAGTAGATGAACTTAACACTAGTTTAGTTCCATTTCTGTCTTTCTGGCCTAGGCTGCTTCTCCTGAGATTCCTAGCTCTGAGCTCACTACTCTAGGCTTCCCTGGAAGCCATCATCTCCTGTGTGAGACCGCATCTCACACGGCACTTTCTTTGCCTGTTTGAAACATGTATGTGGCCACTCTTAAGTGATACCATCAGAAGTTGGTTGAGAAGCTCAGAAAGATAGAGGCTGATAGAGAGGTAAGAGATGGGATATCTGACGATGTCTCCTAGTAAGAGGCTAGAGTGGCAAAGACAAAGAGTTGAAACTTATATGGCAGAATCAGCACAATGGTGCTGGTCATTTGGGGTTTTGAGTCTTCTCTGAAGATCTTTGACATCTTTAGCCCTATTCTGGAGGCCACAGGGAACTACTGGTTATTTGAAAGGAGGAATTTATCTATCTGTCATCTATTTATCTATCTATAATCTGTCATCTAATCTAGGAAATGATAGATCTAGGAAGATAATAGCTAGATATCAGTTATCTTCCTATCATCTAGGAAGGTGATAGATTTATTTTATTATTTTAATTAATTATTTAAAAAATGTAATTATTTTTATTTATTTTATTTTTTAATTACACTTTAAGTTCTGTGATATATGTGCAGAACATGCAAGTTTGTTACATAGGTATACATGTGCCATGGTGGTTTGCTGTACCCATCAACCTGTCATCTACGTTAGGTATTTCTCCGAATCCTCCCAGTGCTATCCCTCCCCTAGTCTCCCACCCACTGACAGGCCCTGGTATGTGATGTTTCCCTCCCTGTGTCCATGTGTTCTCATTGTTCAACTCCCACTTATGAGTGAGAACATGCGGTGTTTGGTTTTCTGTTTCTGTGTTAGTTTGCTGAGAATGAAGATTTCCAGCTTCATCCACGTCCCTGCAAAGGACATGAACTCATACTTTTTTATGGCTGGATAGTATTCCATGGTGTATGTGCCACATTTTCTTTATCCAGTCTGTCATTGATGCACATTTGGGTTGGTTCCAAGTCTTTGCTCTTGTGAACAGTGCTGCAGTCAACATATGTGTGCATGTGTCTTTATAGTAGAATGATTTATAATCCTTTGGGTATATACCCAGTAATGGGATGGCTGGGTCAAATGGTATTTCTGGTTCTAGATCCTTGAGGAATCGCCACACTGTCTTCCACAATGGTTGAACTAATTTACACTCCCACCAACATTGTAAAAGCATTCTTATTTCTCCACATCCTCTCCAGCATCTGTTGTTTCCTGACTTTTTAATGATCACCATTCTAACTGGTGCGAGATGGTATCTCATTGTGGTTTTGATTTGCCGTTTCTCTAGTGACCAGTGATAATGAGCTTTTTTCATATGTTTGTTTACCACATAAGTGTCTTCTTTCGAGGAGTGTCTGTTCATATCCTTTGCTTTCTGATGGGGTTGTTTGTTTTTTTTCTTGTAAATTTGTTTAAGTTCTTTGTAGATTCTGGATATTAGCCTGTTGTCAGATGGATAGATTGCAAAAATTTTCTCCCATTCTGTAGGTTGCCCATTCACTCTGATGATAGTTTCTTTTGCTGTGCAGAAGCTCTTTAGTTTAATTAGATCCCATTTGTCAATCTTGGCTTTTGTTGCCATTTTTCTTTTTTTGAGATGGATCCTTGCTCTGTTGTGCCCAGGCTGGAGTGGAGTGGCACAGTCTTGGCTCACTGCAACCTCCACCTCCTGGGTTCAAGTAATTCTCCCACCTCAGTCTCCCAAGTAGCTGAGATTACTGGCGCCTGCCACCATGCCCAGTAATTTTTTTGTATTTTTAGTAGAGAAGGGGTTTCACCATATTGGCCAGGCTAGTCTCGAACTCTCAACCTCAGGTGATCCGCTTGTCTCGGCCTCCCAAAGTGCTAGGATTAAAGGCCTGAGATAGATAGATAGAACAAGTGGTGTTTTATGATTAACCAGGGGCAGATTGGTAGGAAGTGACTGTAGTTAAAGGTTACTAAGGAACAGTAAGAATTAAGAAATGTGAGAGGGTGAGGCCTGGACAAGCAGGTAACCTAGGATAGGAAGAAGCAGACGAGGCAGGAGCTGTGCCAGCATATCCTGGGCTGCTCCTGAGGCTCACACTGCCCTAGCATATGTTTGTTTATGATATATCTTGTATCTCTTTCCAGTTTTGGAAGGCTAACTTGTAACTTACCAATTGAATTTTATCCTTTAGCATCAAACACAGATCTGACACTTGTGACACAATAATGTTAATGTGGAAATATAAAAGAGAATGACATTGACAAGACCAGGATGACATTTCAGTCTTGTGTTCCTGGAAGAACAATTGCATTATATAAAAACTAAGAAGGTGAGGGTAGGAGAGAGACTTTACGGGAGGAAGATAAAGTGTTCAGCTGTGAGTTTGCAGCACAGGGTTCAGAGGGAAATATTGGTAGCCAGCTGGGTCTGTGGTCTTGGACCTCGGCAGAGTAGACAGGGTGGGGAAATGAAGAGGACATACAGAGGAAGCCTGGGAACTGATATGTGGACAGGTTTTGGTAAACTGAGTGCTGGGTGAATGGAGTGAGCTCCCTTCTCCTGGACAAAATCCCTCCCTACTAAATTCCTTCATAATTTGTGTATTACATTCCACAACTAGGAAGACAAAAACGTATTACCTGAGTATTAATGCGTGGGCTGATCTGAGTAGAGCAGCACATCCTTTTTGGTTTGATGGGTTAGAAGGCAGGTAGGTGCTGGGTACACACTAAGGTGGCTGAGGCTCCCCTGGAGAGTAAGCACCTGCAGTAGTTGCATAGGGACTGGAAGGCCAGCTGCACCCACACAGCCTTAGTTCCCAGGCTCTGCTTCTCCAAACATGAAGGCGTGGAGAGACTTCCAGCCTGCACTCAGCAGCTGGCACCAGAGATGAACCATGCAGAGGTGTGAGCTTTTTAAAGCTGATGAGCCGCTTCAGAAAGTGGCCCTTCACCTGATGCCTTTAGAGAACGGCTGGAAAGTCTCTGGTACTTTACGGACGGGCTTTTAGCAAGATTTAGAGCGTCGGATGAAATTCTGGCTCTGTCTGAACTCACACTGGAGACCTTCCACAGATGGTGTTTTTGTGTTCAGTGTTTCAGAGAGTGAGTTCATTAGTTTTTTCCTTCACTTCCTCTTCCCCTTTCTTTTTATGTTATCATAGCCTCATAGGTGGTTTAACGAAGTGTGAGACTTTTCAAGAGGAAATGATGGATCTGTTTCTCTGAAGAGGCCTGTGAATTACACCCAAGTTCCTTTTATTTTAGTAAAGCTACAAAGCATCGATATGTGCTGAATGAAAACATATTATGTATCTTAGTTCTAAAGGTTTCATCTTGGTGGGGCTGAAGCTTTAGAGAAAGCCGTGTGCTAACTGGAATAGTCTGGTGCTCCCGGGCTCTGCGGTTCTCTCTGAGTCTCGGCATGCTTCGTTTCCAGACTGCCTCCCTTTGCCTAACTCGTCTTTGTTGTTGCAGTAGGTCTGCCATGCCGTGGGTGAGGAGCACTCGCGTCCTGAGCAGAAGGGGCGGAAAGGTGGCATTTTCCCTTTCCACTGAACCCACCATGTCCGTGCTGCTTCCCGGGTCTTTGGGTGATCGCCTTGAGTCTGCCCTGAGCTGCTCTTCCGATGCCCCAGCACTTGCTTGAAAGGCTTTGTCTTTTCATCTTTAATTTGTGTGATAGGTAGTGTGGGGCATGTAGGGGTGGTCCATGAAAATATGGTGCTTTCTTACATTCTTTTAATGGATATTTCAAGAAACATGTCATGTTTTTAACAGTAAAATAGAGGTTAAATGTAGGTTTTCATGAAATACTTGAATATCTTTTTTTTTTTTTTTTTGGAGACGGAGTCTCGCTCTGTCGCCCAGGCTGGAGTGCAGTGGCTGGATCTCAGCTCACAGCAAGCTCCGCCTCCCGGGTTCACGCCATTCTCCTGCCTCAGCCTCCCGGGTAGCTGGGACTGCAGGCGCCCGCCACCTCGCCCGGCTAGTTTTTTTTTGTATTTTTTAATAGAGACGGGGTTTCACCATGTTAGCCAGGATGAAATATTTGAATATCTTAAGAGGCCATGAATTGACACATCATTTCTCTCTACTCTTCTCTATCAGAAGGTGTCTGAATTCAGCGATGGGTGAAAATTCTGCTCGTTCTGTAGATTTCATCATTTCATCAGGTCGTCTACCTCTCTCTTGCCTATGTTAGAGGCTCAGTGGGGCCTGGTTGGAGGGCGCCTCCCTGTATTCTTCTGCCGCTTACCAGATGCCCTGCTGGAGAGCCCTGAGCACCTTCTCCTGAGAATTACACTTGTGTTTTCAATTATCACTAGATCTGCTCCTGAAACCCCCTCAAAGATTGGGCGATGTCTAGATTTTGGCTGGAAGCACATCCGAAATATTTCCTGCAAGAAGGGGAAAAGGTTGTCGGGTGCTAGCTTTGATGTGTTTGTTCAAGAAAGGAATTTATTCTTCATGGAAAGGGTTGAAATGGCCTTTGCTTTTGTGATAATTTTTACATGTCAGCTTTGTCATTTGGGCTGCATGGCAATAGCTCGGGTGCGGAGAAGCTCTGGGTGACCTGGGCTACCTGCGCGTCTCGAGTGTGTGTCTGCTCCGTCAGGCCTCGGCTGTGTGGGGAACAGAGGAGGATGTTGCTGATGTCTGAGGTCGTGGGAGACTCAAGCTTCCCTTTTCTTTCTCTGCAGAACTGAAGCACGAGATTCACGTCTGGCGCCTGACCGCTCAGCGCATCAGCCCGGCCAGCCGCGAGGAGACTGCCGTGCGCCGCCTGCTGCTGGGGAAGGTGCTGGCCCTGGAGCACCTGCTCGCCCGGAGGCTGCACACCTTCCACAGGTACCGGGCGGGGTGCTGCTCAGACTGTGCCGGTGTACAGCAGAACGTTCCATGGCCCTACAAAACAGCGACACTAGCTGTATACTGATACGTGATTTTTAGGTGACACACACTGTGCTAAGCCTCTTACGGTGCATTTTATCTAACCCTCACTGAGCTCTGTGGGGGGTACACAGCCGAGTTTAAGGACAAAAACAAACAAAACAAAACAAAACAAAACAAAACCAGAGGCTCAGAGTTCGAGCAGCGTGCCCAGGGTTGTGCAGCTTGGAAGGAGTGGCGCTGGGGATGGAGCTCACACTCTCAACCGCTGGGCTGTCCCATCTCTCCACGTGGTAATTGTTGCCGACAAAAACAAAAAACCATTAATGCAAAGACTAATCGAACAAAATCTTCTGCCAGTAGTAGATTTTCAGGCACACGAAAGAATATGAGAGCCCCACTCAGTTTGTTTCCTGGCATTCGTTGTTAATCGAAGCTGGGACTTAAAGGGTGACTATGAATTGGTGTTTTTTCTCCTTGCTGTGACATGGTGCTGAGTTCCAATCAGTCTTTGTTCTGGAAGCTCAGACAGAAGAAGCAGGAGCCTGGTGACCCCCCAAGGGATGCCGAAGTGGAAGCGTCCCCACAGCTGAGCTGAGAGTGGATGGAGGTGTCCATCTAGGCAAGGGGAAGTGTGAACGCTTATGAACAAAATCTAGAATGGTCTTGCATGTTGCCATTCGCTGAGCCCTGAGGGGTCGCCCTGCATGGGTGTCTCAGGGTCTGGCTGTTGGTGGGAGGGTTCCCAGGCAGTCCCACGGAGTCCCACACAATCCCGGGAGGAAGTGCTGGCTCTGTGGCATTGGCTCCATCCCCGGCCCAGGACCCACCTCGCCCAGCAGTGCTGGAGCAGCAGGACCAGTGTCCTCAGGCCACAGGGAGGCCCTGAGTTGCAGGCTGGGGAAAAAATGACCACCTTTGGCCGCAGGTGCAGACCTTAGAGGAAGACGCTTCATAAATTAAAGATAGAATAAATTGTCCTGGTGTTGGGTGTTAAAGACACACTTAGTGCATCTCAGGTTACAAATGTGAGGAAACGTGGGCTCCGAGGCTCACCAAGTTCCCATCAACTCATCTGGTGTCAGTCACACATGGGGAAACTGAGACCTGGGGAGGGCGTGGCTTCCCAAGGCCACACAGTTGCTGAGAAGCAGATTACCATGAGGGTGTCCTAGGCAAGGTTGGGCTCTGCAGGTTTTATTTTTTTATTTTTTTGAGATGGAGTTTAGCTCTTCTTGCCCAGGCTGGAGTGCAGTGGCACGATCTCGGCTCACCACAGCCTCTGCCTCCTTTACCTCCTGGGTTCAAGCAATTCTCCTGCCTCAGCCTCCCAAGTAGCTGGGATTACAGGCAGGTGCCAACCCGCCTGGCTGATTTTGTGTTTTTAGTAGAGACGGGGTTTCTCCATGTTGGTCAGGCTGGTCTCGAACTCCCAACCTCAGGTGATCTGCCCACCTTGGCCTCCCAAAGTACTGGGATTATGGGTATGAGTCACCATGCCCGCCTGCAGGTCTTATTTTTACATTTTCTTTTTAAAAATTGTCCTCAGAATCATTCGACTGTGTCTGCTGTGATTCTTTACGGCCCAGACTGGCTGTGAGGTCAGCCTCCTTTGATACTAAAACTGCATTCTTCATTGTGCAGCCCCTTTTCCCTAATTGGTGAAGGAGGAAGTCAGCCAGGAGGGTGGGCTGAGTCAGAAACATGGAAAAGGAGAGGCAAGTGGGAGCCACTAAAGGGGCTGAAACAGGCGGGAGGAGGCCACCCCAGCAGGAGCAGCACAGACAGAAAAGCCTTCAAAGCCGATCTTCCCCAACCGCTGACCTCAAGCGATCCTTCCCCCTCGGCCTCCCAAAGTCCTCGGATTTCAGGCGTGGAAGTGATCACTGATTGATGAAAATCAACGTTAAAGCAAGTGACATTTCTTTTACCATGTTTTTCTTTAGTTGGTTGTAAGAGTTGTACAGGTTCAGTGCCCTCATCTTGGACACAAAGAGATTCGGGCATGTAGAAGTGCACGTAAAGAGGAAAATAAAGAGGCTGACGGTTACTGCCTTTGTCCGTGTGCTGGTGCGGGGTTTTCATGAAGTGTCCCGTGCGCAAGCTGTCCCACACACCTCCTCACACGCACTTCTTTCATCATTCAGGCCATTATATGTATTTTTTTTGGGAAAAGATAGAGCGAGCGCCCTTTCCAGCCAACCAGTGAAGCCCCATTGGCCCCCCATGACTAGTCCTGCCAGGCTCCATGTCGCAGACAGCGTCCAGGGACAAAGTGCTAGGGCTGCCGCTCCACGTGGCCAGGGAAGTAATGAGTCTCTTCTTTTCTCTTTCAGACAGATCTCACAGGAGGACAAAAATTGGGAGACCAATATCCAGGAACTCCAGAAGAAGGTACGCAGCTTTCTTTTCTCAGGGATTTCTGATTCGCTTCTCCAAGAAGAGAGTGAGCGATGCCTTTCCTTTCCCTCACATGACCGAACGCCATTTCTCTTTTTATTTCTGCGGTCATACACAGGACATTGCAATTTATGTGTTTGAGTGAATGGGGAGAAATGTTTTCCGGAGACAGCAGGCTGATCTTGTCAGGACGTGGAAAGCGAACGTCTTCGTAGGGCCTTTCCCTTTCCCTGCGCGTTACGGGGCCGCCCTCTGAGCGGGTGTCCCTGACCACCAGCCCTCTCCTGGCCCCGAAGGGCAGGCCCGAGTTCACACTTTGAGGGGACAGCGAGGCGTGCTGCGTGAAGTGGAGCAGCTTTAGGGTCAGACATAGGATGCGTGAGTGTCCTGCCGACGGCTCCGACTTCTTGGGGCAGAGCTTTGTGGTTTTTTTTGGCTCTTTCTCAGCCCATTTATGAGCACATAGGGCCCCTTCCCAGTCGAGAGAGCTCTGCACGAGATCTCCTGGGAGTCATCTGCATCTTGGTGACGTTTCGGATCTGTGCGGTTTATCTTCTAGGGAGAGACTGAACACCCGCTCTAATTGTGACGGGCACACTCCACATGCGAGTCAGGTGTTTCCTAACAGGGCTTCAGCACACCTCACGTCTCTCGTGTCTATTTTCCATAAAGATGTTGGATGTGATCTGATGAGGTGCCTCAGTGCCTTCACACTCTGTCCTGTGTAGACGGCAGGGTTAGAAAAGAAAGGTGTAGCTGTGATACTCTTGCAGGCCCCAAGTTCATACAGATGATGCCTGCTTTGCTAGACTGTGGTGTTTTGGTCGGGAGCTGGAGAAGAACTGTGCACCTCTCTGTGCACGAGGACTACAGTGAGATGAAATGGAGAGGGAAGCCTTGGCAGCATCCCTGTATCACATCTAAGAATTCGTACAGAAGCGACCCTAGGGGTGTGTGTGTGTGTGCCGTGGAATACTACTGAGCCATAGAAAGGAATGAAATAATGGCATTCACAGCAACCTGGATGAACTTGGAGACCAGTGGTGAAGTAACTCCGGAATGGAAAACCAAACATCGTATGTTCTCACTTATAAGTGGGAGCCAAGCTACAAGGACACAAAGGCATGAGAATGATATGATAGACTTTGGGTGCTTGGGGGAAGGGTGGGAGTGGGGCGAGGGATAAAAGACTACACATTGGGTACCGCGTACCCTGCTCAGGCGATGGGAGCACCAAAAATCTCAGAAATCACCACTAAAGAACTTATCCGTATAATCAAACACCACCTGTCTTCCCAAAATCTATTGAAATAAAAAAAAAAGAAAAAAAGAAATGACCTCAGGTATCTAGAAGGAGCGAATGTGAATGCCACCCCCAAACCCCTCCACTTCCGTGAGCTGCAGGATGCTGGAATGCTCTTGGACCTGCCCGCTCCTCCACCTCCGATCTTCGCACTGGCCGTAGCAATAGCCACTTTCTGTGGTTGCTACGACCTCAGGGAATGTTTGCAGTGCCTCCCTTCACGCCTGGTGAGAACCCACATCACTCTCCTCTGAGCATTTCAAATCCTTTTCCTGCCATGCTCCTGTGGTCCTGATTGTTCAGCACAGAATCATGCAGGAACATCAGCCTTGCCCAGAGGGGCGACGGGGAGGATGAGAAGGGCTGGCCAAGCCATGAGCCTTTGCAGTGGGCAGAGAGGGGCAGATGCTCACCGATGGCCTCACTGCACATGGAGGAAGGCTGTGTCAGAGCTGTTGTGACACGGAGGGGCTTGCATATGTCTTTGATGGCAGCAGCTTTACCTATGTGACCAGAGGAAGCAAGAGAAAATCTCTCTGTAGTTCTAGCTCTACCTCTGTGTGTCTATATCTGTATGTCTGTATCTGTCCAAATCCAGATAGCTGTAGATTGCTGTGATGACAGATGTCTAGATCCACCTGCATCTACAAAGCTACAGACGTCAACACCCGTCATCATTGCTGTCTGCATCTATCCACCTAGACAGACTAGACAGATGGGCGGACAGGTGTGCTGGTGGGTAGACGGACGGGCGGACAGGTGTGCTGGTGGGTAGACGGACGGGCGGACAGGTGTGCTGGTGGGTAGACGGACGGGCGGACAGGTGTGCTGGTGGGAAGGTGTGCTGGTGGGTAGACGGACGGGCGGACAGGTGTGCTGGTGGGACCAGACTCAGGAAAGGATCTGATGCTTGCCAGGCATGGTGGCTCACACCTGTAATCCCAGCGCTTTGGGAGGCAGAGGTGGGAGCATTGCTTGAGCCCAGGAGTTCAAGACCAGCCTGGGCAATGTGGTGAAACCCTGTCTCTACTAAAAATACAAAAATTAGCTGGGCATGGTGGTGCACACCTGTAGTCCCAGCTACTTGGGAGGCAGGCTGTGGTAGGAGGATCACCTGAGCCTGGGAGGCAGAGGTTGCGTTGAGCCGAGACTGTGCCACCACACTCCAGCCTGGGTGACAGAGTGAGACTCTGTCTCCACGGAGACCTGGTTGACAGGGCAGGCCAACCAGGTGCCCATCTGTGCATGCTTCCCTGCCCTGGCCCCCTGCTGCCATGGCCTGTGGGGCACAGTACCCTTGAGGCCTCACAGGGAGAGCCGTGTCTTGTGCTGACTCCCAGGTTGATGGAGGCCTTGCAGAGGATGAGATGCCTCAGGGCCTGCCCTTCCCCTGTGACTGGGCAGATTCCCGTGGGTGTCATCCCAGCGCTAAGAGTGCACCGCCTGCGTTTCAAGGGCCTCGTGCATGTCATGTCAAGAACATGGCCAGAGCCTTATCTGGGAGTCACAGTTCCGTGAGAAGGCTCAGCCTCATTGCCCTGCCTGTATGCTTGGCATGGTAGGGAAAGGAACAGTGAAGACGGCGCTGCCACCACAGGTGCCTGTAGAAATGCCCCATCATCCTCTGACACCTGCTGGCCAGGTGTTTCATAACAGGGCTGTACTACTCTTGACATCTGCTGTGTTTATCTTTCATAAAGATTTTGAATGCAGTAATCCTGAATCTGTATGGTTTTCCTTGTAACACAGTACTTTGTCATTTTCTTTCAAGTTTGAGAGGCCACATTTTTCATCATCGTGCAATCTGTCATGATTCCAGTTGCGTAGGTTATGACGCCCTGCAGGAGTCAGAAGGTTGTGCAGAGACAGTGAGCTGTGGTTTCTCTCTTACAGCATAGGATATCCGACGGGATCCTGCTCACCAAATGCCTGACCGTGTTGGGATTTGTTATCTTCGTGTTTTTCCTCAATTCGTTTGTCCCTGGCATTCATCTTGATCTTGGTGAGTCTAATTTAGCTTTTGTTCATAGGCTTTGTCACATTCTGGATGGGAAGGTTTCAGAGTCTGTTCCCAGACACTGACTTCACCCACGGGCAGCTGGGCTGGTGGGAGGCCAGAGAGGTTGGAGATGGAGGGTGGGCAGCCTGCCCTGGGAAGAAGGCGCCTTTCCTTTTGGTTTCCTGGGCAGGAGGGAGGGAGAGAGAGATGCGTCTCCAGCCCCTTAGACTCTGTGCCATGGGTCCTCGGCCCCTCCAGGGATGCCCATGGGAGGAATGTAGAGTGGGCACTGTCCTGTCTATTGTAGTTAATAACCATATCTGTACATGGTTCCCAGAAGAGACAGGAGCCACGTGGGCAAGGCCAGCGCTGCCCTCTGTGCCGCCTGCCGTGCCAGTTAGGTGACAGCCGGTTCAGGAGTTGGGGAGAGCCCTGGCGAATGGTCAGCGCTGCCCTTTGTGCTGCCTGCTGTGCCAGTTAGGTGACAACCTGTTCAGGAGTTGGGGAGAGCCCTGGCAAATGGTCAGCGCTCTGCAGGGCCCACTTGCCTCGTCTGAGGGTGCATCTGGCCCATGAAACTGTTCTCCCACCATCCACTGTTGGTTTCTCTTCTCCCACTGTCACCACACCCATGGCTCTCAGACCTCTCCACTTTCTCTAGCCTGTGTCATGGCCAGGACCTGTCCCCACCTGAGATGTGGCTCCCTCAGGGGAAGCTCACCACAGAGCTTGTCAGCCCCTGGCCTCCACCCTCCATAAACGTTCTCCACTCTCCTAGGCGTTCGTCAATTTCACAGTCATCTCCACTGGTGTCCTTATTGAAAACAAAGCAAAACCCACCCACATGAAAGTGTAGGTTTGTAAGAAGCATAAATTTGAGGTGGGGTCACAGTCTTTTCTTTTACCAAAGCTTTACCCATAGTTTTCCTTCAAAAGTGAGTTCTGCTAAGATGGTTAAAATATCCAACTTTTATCTTATTTTGTATAAAACCTTGATTCACTGTGAAATTTGAGGAGTGCAGCTGCCGTAGAAAGCGAAGCCTCTTAATTGTGTAAAATAGATGGATAATGCCGCAAGCTTCAGTGATTCGCACCACATCATTGCTTCTGGGGTTCCTGGAAACCATCAGAAATTCATGGGCCAGAAGTTGATTTTCCTTTTCTCTTACGTAAAAAAGCCACATTTCTAGATTCTCACACAACACATGATGTACGTGCTTTTGACTGGAGGTCCAGCTTTATGTTATGTATTCACAGCCCCTCAATTTCCTTCCCTTGATAATTTCAAATCCGACTTGCCAGGTGTCCTGGGCTTGGTTCACGCTGGCAGGTATTATTATCCACACCTGAGAGCCGGTCTGCTTAGAATCCTGATGAGGTAATGATCCAAAGCTGGAGTGGTAACGGTACTGTGAATTTCAATTGTATTTGGTGGACTACATCTAGAAATTGCTGCAGTGTAATTATTTTTCATTACACCTCAGGCCGAATGTAATTTTAACATTAGAAACCTAATGACTAAAAGAATGTTAGGTAGTCACCACTGGTAATTAAACACATTTAAAAAACTAGTGTTTTGTGGGCAGAGAGGTTCCATTAGGTGTTCACAGATAATTTTGCTCCTTATTTGAGAGTCTACTTTAGAAGAACATAGCAGGCATTTTAAAAACTAAAAAGATACAAGAGCTTGCATTCAATTTTATTAACATTTGGCAACAGTCCTTGTATAAAAAACAATACTTTAATACTTAAAGTCACATCTTTAACTATATGGACTTTAAAAATCTTGGTTACTATGAAACTTTTAGCCGGGAAGTCTACACTGTTTTACAAAACGTCTCATCTCCTTTTGTGTGGTTGTTACATCTGTGGATGATGGTCGTGTTTATTTTCTGCTTTTAAATCCTGTTTTGTTTTTAGCTGGGGTTTGCGTTCAGGTGATTTTATCTGGGGATCCAGATATTTGCATATTCATCAAGATAAGTTAGGTTGACTAGGAGAGGAGTTTGATTGGCATATATTTTAATGGAATACAGTTTCCTTAGAGTGATAAGAAGTTTTCTGATAGAACAGGGGCAAAACGGACACAAGATCTTCCCAGGGCTTCAGCCAGTAGCAACGTGATCATTTATCTTTGGCGAAGTTCTGTTTTCTTTTTAATTTTTTTACATGTAACAGTGTTTTTTTTAAAAATATTTTTGAGACAGAGTCTCACTCTGTTGCTCAGGCTGGAGTGCAGTGGTGCAATCTCAGCTCAGTGCAGGCTTTGCCTCCTGAGCTCAAGCAATTCTTGTGCCTCAGCCTCCAAAGTAGCTGGGATTACAGGAATGCGCCACCACCCCTGGCTAATTTTTGTAGTTTTAGTAGAGCTAGAGTTTCACTATGTTGGCCAGACAGGTCTCAAACTGCTGACCTCAGGTGATCCTCCCACCTCAGCCTCCCAAAGTGCTGGGATTATAGGCATGAGCCACTACGCCTGGCCAGGAGTTCTGTTTTCAATGTGTCCTGCTGTGTAAGTTGAACCTTGTTCAATGTGATGTCATATAACATGAAGTGACGTCGTATCACACGATGTGCATGATGTAACACATGACATCATCTAATACAGCGCACACACTGTCCACTATTTGACATTATAACACAATGTAATTGCATATAACACAGGGTGCTGTCATGAAAAAATAATGCATTATGAAACAAAATGTGACATCAGATAACATTCCTTCATTTAGGAATCCTAAACTAGATACAGCATTGACTTTCTCTTTGTTTGTTTGTTTTTTTAATTATCATAGAGCAAAACTGACTTTTCCTTTGGATGTAGCTTTCTATGGATTTTAACACATAAGTAGATTTATGTAACTGCCACTGCAGTCAGAGTACAGGACAGCTCCGTTACAGACCTTTCTCAGCTGTTCTTTCGTGGCCACCCTCCCCCAGTCCTGGCAAGGACTGATCTTGTCTCCATCCCTATGGTCTTGTGTTTTTGGGGCTGTGATATACACGGAATCGGATCGTACGCCACCTTTCGAGACTGGCTTGTCTCACACAGCGTAATGCCTCTGTGGTGCACCCAAGTTGCTGTGTGCATCATTAGTTCCTTGCATTTGGCTGGGCGTGGTGGCTTACGCCTGTAATCCCAGCACTTTGAAAGGCCGAGGAGGGTGGACTGCTTGAGCCCAGGAGTTTGAGACCAGCCTGGGCAACATGGCAAAATCCCGTCTCTACAAAAAATACAAAAATTAGCTGGGCGTAATAGTGTGCACCTGTAGTCCCAGCTACTTGGGAGGCTGAGGCAGGAGGATTGCTTGAGCCTGGGAGGTGGAGGTTGCAGTGAGCTGAGACTGCACCACTGCACTCCAGCCTCAGTGACAGAGCCAGACCCTATTTCAGAAAAACAAAAACAAAAACAAACCCAAAAAACTACTCTAGACACTTCTGAGTACATGGTTTTCTCTGAACTTCAGTTTTTATTCTCTGGGTGGATTTCCTTCTCTTGAGTGGCACTGCTGTGTCATACAGTGGGTGTGGATTTTATTTTAAAAAATACTGCCACCCCGTTTTCTAGTAAGGCCAACCCCTTTGCGTTCCCACAGCATGTATGGGAGTTCCAGCTGCCTCGCACCCTGACTAGCACATGGAACAGTGAGAATCCCCCTGGAGTTCCACAGCACCTTATGCAAACCTTAAATACATTCTCTTGATTTCTTTCCTCTTCTGTCTTCTGGCCTCCCCCTTCCCAGCTAGACTCAAGGACCTGGTCCGTGTGCCTGCAATTCCCCTTCCTGGTGCCTGGTGCTAATGCCTGGTTCATTAATAGAAGCAAGGTGTAGGTTTAAAGGATGCACGAACACACTTCTTGTTACTGCTCGCAGATTCCAACTTAACTATTGTGGGAATTTCCTATGTGGCTGACCCAGTCAGGGGCACAGCCTGAGGCAAAGGCTCACGTGTGTGTTCTTCATCCAGGAGCTTCATCCCAGGGAAGAGGGGTGAGGGATGGGGGCCGGACAGTGAGGAGAGCAAGCGCAGGCACCAGTGCCCCAGCGTGCTGGCCTTTGTGACAGGCCACTGGAGCTCCATCCTGCAGGGCTGTCTGAGTGGAGGTACCAAGTGCATCTCAGGGCTGTCTGTGGGGTTGAGTAGAGCAAGAAGGAATGTTTACTGGCTGATGCACGTGGCCCATTGGTCTCAGCTCCTTCCCGTGGGATGCCAGAGTGCGTGTGTCCAGCTGCATGTGCCGAGGCCATGTGACCACACCCACAGGGCAGCCCAGGCAGAGAAGGCACCAGGGCATGGGCTCCAGGGCAGACCTTCTGGGTGCATCTGTGTGAGGGTGGTCAGGCCACATGGAGCTGGCTGTGGTGACAGACAGGAGAGCCCTGAGGGACCCAGGGGTGTGCAAGAGGTGGCACAATGGCAAAGAAGGGTGAGCAAGGGCCAGGGTCACAGTTCACACCCATCCGGCAAAGAGGTGGCTTCCGACGTGCAGGGACCATCACCTCACAGCACAGCTGGACCGAGCCCAGCCTGGGCGCCGGCTCTGCAGAGGTCTGCAGTCCCTGCGTGAGGCCCTTGGTGCCAGATGGGTTTCATGGGGGCCAAGGGAGAGTTTTCCCCTTGGGCCTCTTGAGTTTTGCTGAAAAAACAACTAACAGCAGGCAGAGTAATAGGAGAAGAGGCGTACACATTTATTTAACACGCGTACACAAGAACCTTCAGAACGAAGACCCAAAGATACAGGAGACACTGACCATGTTAATATTTAGGTTCAACCAAGTGTGGAGAGCCGGGTAGAAATGGGATTGGAGAAGAAGGGGTATGATTGGGTGCTGATAGACTGAGTGGGAACCCAGCAGGGCCTGTCTGTCCAGAATCTTCCTGGCCTGTCTGAGCAGCACTCCTTCCTTCTGGGCGTGGGGCAGGCCCCTCTCTGGAACGGGGGTCGTAGGACCTACGGTCAAACAAGGCAGGCCAGACCGTTTCTTCGTGGCCAGTTTTCA